AAACACTGAAGAATCCAGTAGTTTTTTTGATCATGAACAGATTTCTTACAACTTACAAGTACTTTAAACTAAAGAGAGCTCCAGAAAATCTTTTAGGTTGTTAAGAACAGATCAGGTGCTCCCAACATTTTTGGCTTCTGTCCCCTTTGAAACAAAAAACTGTTTACATCTGGCTTCTTGTCACCAGTTTCCTGTGCTAAGTCATTCATGTAGTGATTTTCTCCCGCTCAAATGGTTTATTTTAATTTTAAGAGGCATGAAAGGCTGTAACTGTCTAGAATTTCACAAAAAAAATAGGATTATTAGAGAAAATCAGGGGAAAATAGCATAATGTGCAGAATAAATCTGTTTTTGACTCTCTCCATTTGTCATCTCATGACCCCTCAGGGTTATCTTGCAACCCCTTCGGAAGGTCCTGACCCCCATCAAGGTAACAATTGTCCTAGATGACGGCAGTACAGAAACAGAGGTGGGCAAACATTTTCTGAGACATGTTTTGATGTGATTGTACAATGTTGTACAAAATTGTCCAGTTTGGTTTTGATTCAGTTCCATCCAATTTCCCATTCTTTCAGTCCTATTTATATATTTATATATTGATGCAGCATTCTGGATCAGCTAGAGAGTCTTAAGGGACTTATTCTGTCTGCCTGAGAATAACAATGTGCAATATTCCAGCCTAGAAGAAACAAATGTCTGGATTAGTTTTTACGCATCATTTTGAGACAAGATGTGTCTGATTTTTTAAATATTGCATAGGTGAAAAAAGGCATTTCTTGAAGTTTGTTTAATGAGTTAATGGACATATCCTGATCAAAGAAACATCAGAGATTAATTACAGGGGAGGAGGAAAAGAAGGTCAAACGCAACAACATTGTGATTCCATACGTGTCTGGAGTATCAGAGAAACTCAGGAGGATTTTCAACAAACACAACATCCCTGTGTTTTTTAAACCCAAGAACACACTAAGACAGATGCTGGTGCACCCCAAAGACCGCACACCCAAACACAAGAAAAGCAATCTAGTGTATGCGGTCCAATGCAGTGAGGAATGCACAGACCTCTATATTGGGGAGACTAAACAACCACCACCCAAACGCATGGCTCAACACAGAAGGGCCAACTCCTCAGGTCAAGACTCTGCAGTCTACTTACATCTGAAGGACAGAGGACACTCGTTTGAGGACCACCAGGTGCACATTTTAGACGGAAAAGATGGATGGTTTGAAAGAGGTGTCAAGGAAGCCATCTACACCAGGGTCGAGAAGCTGTCATTGAACAGGGGAGGGAGTCTACGCCACCACTTATCCCCCACTTACAATGCTGTCCTTTCATCACTTCCCAGGAAACTCAACAAACGTAACCTATTGGCCTCAGGTGAGGATACCAACGATGGTCGTTCAGTCTTGGCCACAGGTAGTCTTAACGACTATAACGACTGTCGTCACAGCAACAAGGAACACTAACGAACCAGCGGTATCGATGACCCGGGCCAACGACCCCACTGAGGTTAAATAGCCGAGTTTCCCTGCCAGTCAGTCAGAACTGAAGAAGTCCTTTGGATGAGGGACAAAACGTCTTCCAGTATCTTCAACCAAGTCCAGTTGCCCTTGACTTTAAGCTTCGTTGGATAACTATGACCTGGATGACTGAGAATCTTCATAGACATCTTGCAACATGGTCATTAATAGCATAAGTATCATAGATCCAGACTGTAATTTTAGAGGACAATGGCATCATGCTTCTCTTTATTGTAGAGAATAATGCACCTGGAAGGAAATTAAATCCCTCACACACTGTATTTGTCAATGAGATTGGCAAAAGGCAGGAGACATGGCCGAAACATCATAGGCCAGCGAGCCACGGTGAGTACACAGATATCCATCACTGGCCCATACAACAACGTGTGGGGGTGGGTTTGCCAGGGCAATGGGGATTGGAGCAACATTGTTAAACTAATTACTAGCTAGCCTAGCTTCTTCTTCTTCTTTCATGTTTTATGGCAGTTGGCATTCATAAATGTTGCATTAGTGGCACCTACTAGATTAAGGGGGGTCCCAACCAGAGATGGGGACACAAGTTTGAGACTTCGACTCGGACACAGTGACTTGAGACTCGACTTGAGACTCGTCCTCAAAAGACTTCAGACTTGACTCGGACTCAAGGTGCGGGACTTGCTGTTATTCCTCTCCCTGCATTACCTATAATCTGCCTACGTAACACACGCTACCCATCTACTGCGTGCGGCCACATGTGAGAGAGAACAACAAACAACAGCAACTGCTCCGCCATTCATCATAAACTTTGGCTTTAAAACTTCATACAAGACCCAAACAAAGAAGCGCTGAATGCAAAATAGGTTAGTAACCTGAGTTTAGTAAACATGTTTAGCTCAGCATTGGCCATCTAACGTTAGCTTGCTTCTTGCTTTAGCTACGACCTACAGAAGATTAACTCTGACTGTCATTTGTTATGAAGAGATGAATGAGCGTTTGTTTGCTTGCCAAACTTGTGGTGGTCGATTAATGTAATCATTTAGGTTCCGCTGGCTGCCATAATGTTAATTATTAATGGTGGTTGCAAATAGGTTACAGATTTATTGTTGATCATGTAACATTACAGTTTTATTTAGTTATCGTTACACTGGTTTGAGAGTCTGGGGAATGTGTTGACTTGCAGTATTTTATAAGCAGTCATTAATTGCATTGCACATTACATCGTTGTGCTCTCTAAGTGAAAAATAGGTTACTGTTACAGAATTCCTTATAGCGATGCAGTGTTACAAGCAGCCTGGATTGAACACAGCAGGTGATACAACATTCATAATCCACCACGAATGACTTGACTTGGACTCTAGCTCAAAGCCTTGAGACTTGACTTGGACTCTAGCTCACTGACTTGAGACTTGACTTGGACGCTAGCTCAAAGACTTCAGAATTGACTTGGACTCTAGTTCAAAGCCTTGTGAGCATCTTTGGTCCCGACCTCCAAGCTAAGAACTCCTGCTCTACATGGATCTCATCCCTGAAAACGGCCCAGGTTTGATAAGAAATGGCTTGCCAATTTTTGTCATTGTCTGGGATAATGCGAGTTCCTTCCTCTGTACTCTTCATTCTTGATAATTTTTTTTTGCCTGGAGGTGGAACAATCATTGACCACTAAATCAGTTGTCCTTTCTTGCTGCAATGGATGAAGTGTGCAGAGGATGGTTGCGGCATTTCTTCCCCCATTCCATTTCGAGGGAGAGCATTAGGTGTGAGGTCGATAAGAATCTGTGGCCAAACAGACAAGATATCCAGTCCCAGCACTGTAACTCCATAGTGTTACTGTAGTATACTACTCATACTACTGCATATAGTACGACTTTTCTTATCCACAGTAGGGGAGACCAGGGGCAATTGGCAATTGTAACACACTCAATTTCTCCAATCAGAAACAAGCTGGAATGATGACACTTAATCTGCACATGCTCAATAGGATTCTCTCTCTTTTTCTTCTGGTGTCTAAAGTTCAGATGACTGCAAATCTAAACTTGCATACATTTTATCTCTAGGTTATTGATTAACAATTAACACTAACAAACTATGCTTATATAGTTGTGGCTAGCGGGCCGGTCATACAAGATTTTATCATGGCTGCAACACAGTGTTACAATTGCCCCCAATCCACATGGCCCAATGTAAGCAGCTTGTTTGTCTGTTTTGAAAATAAACATATTTCACTAAATATAAATGTAAAACCTTATTTAAAAAGGCTGTATTAAAAGAAATGGATATGTCCTAGTATAAACAATCAACAATTAACATAGGCCAACATTCTTTGTATAAAATAGTGTTTTATATGTGTTTAAAGTAAAGTTCCTTTCATTGTCAGTTTGTCTGTATAGTGGACTTAAAGTAGTTTATGATATAAGAACCAGCAAAACCAAAGAGAATGACTACTTCACTTGTAAAAAGCAATTTTATGAAGTTAGAACAGAGAGAGCAGAGGATGCCTGACATCTAAAATAATTTGAACTATTTAAGAACTCTTATGTAACATTATTAGCGGTAAAGTAATTACTTCAAGGTAGCCTAGGCTTTTATTTGAGATGCAGTGGGTTAATATAACTTTTTCAGTGTTACAATGGAAGGATGGATGGATAAAAAACACACATTAAAAACAAAAGTCCAACATGAAGAAACAGTGCTTTATGTAAGCAATTTAGGTCACATGCTGGTTTATCAGTGGTCTCCAGGGTGAACACAAGAGTGAGCAGTTGGACCACAGACAGATTTTTGTGACTTAGCCCTTTTGTCTTCACTGCTGTGAGAGCATCTCTAACACCCAGACAATGTGTATGGCCTGAGAAATAGCATCGTGTGGCGTCTCATGCTCCCCTCTCTCTAAAGGAGCTTTAGATTATTTCTTTGGGTACAACATTGGAATGACAATCCCAAAGCAAGTGAGGGGAGACTAGGAGAGGCATGTGTTTGACTTTTACTGACCTTAAAGCAGAAACCATCTACAAAGATATTGTTGAATTACCTGCACAAATTGGTCTCGTGTTTGTCAGCCCGGCCAGACTTTGAGGCTTTAGACCAAAAGATAGCAAAAGGACAACTATTTTTTGATGTGTCACTTGCTGAGGACGGAGGTGTGTTTTTACTATCTTGGCATTTGGGGAAATCAGGGAAAGATGTCTTATCTCACTCAGTAGTGAAAGGACAGTCATCTTTTGTTACATCTTCACTTTGTGATTAATGTTTATGTCAGGTGCAGCTTTGGCCTTTGGTGAATTTCCAGTCATCCGGTTCCATTTTTATTTATCACAGAGCTCAGTCATGAGTATGAAAAGACAATTTTTTAGATGAACATAGACCCACAGTGGTTTCTGTAGGCATGTTGCCAAGAATGCTCTTGCCTCAGAGGGGAAACCAGAGTTCAGGGCTCACTGCTTGTAAAAGCCGGATGTGATTTTGCAATGCTTTATCTTTTAGATTTAAAAAAAAAAAATCACCTCTTATGTGACAAATGTTGTGTCTCATCAAGTGATGCATGGTATTCCTCCCGCTGGGAGCGCAAAATTCCCACACACATCTCTGAGGCTTGCAGTCGTACACCAGGGGATCCCCAGATCCTGGCCTGTGGCAACATGGGAAGTTTGTTGATCATAGCTGTCACATTCACTCTCAATTAAATGACGAAAAGCACCAAAAAAGTAGTGCTGTCAGCCTCTAAAAGCTTTAATACATATAATACACAATTTATAACTACCATAAAAGCCACAATGTATTAAAAAAATTCAATCATTTGTTTTTAGAGAAATTCAAGGTCAAATACAGAACCACGTTAAATGTTCTGGTTATACTACTGTATGTGTCACTAACATGACTTGCTAAGCTGGCACCCTATCATCTGTGTTTAGCCATTTTTGTAAGGTGAAATCAGTTTCATCATTGACAAGTGTATTTTTAAGAAAGAGAAAGTTTACCTGTGAGTCACTGCTGCTTTAGACAGTCAGCAGTGTCAAGACTCTTAAAGGAAGCAGAGCGCCAGTTGCTATGTGGGTGGATGTTTCACGCTGGCATTCATAAGCCTTGAGCGGGTTTTAAACCATTTAAGCTGCTAGTTGCAGAGTATTTGCTGTGGCTTCCTACACCTCCAATTGGACATGGTGTACTGTGAAACTGTCATTATGCTCACGTAATAAACTACCTTTTCCACCACCTCCACTCTTAATGTGAAACACTTTGTCTTGTTACAAAATTTGGCAGAGCTTTTCTGCGAGCACAGCCATGAAAGGATTACATTAGGTTAAACCTTCCAACGGAAGTGGGAGGATTTCAGAGACAATCTAAAAAGATGAAACACAATCAAGTCCATTCATCATTTTAATTACTTGCATAGAACTATGTAAATGGAGCATCTATGATAATTAAAGGATCATTAAGAAATCCATGACCTTTTATCAATCTTTATAACTGTCTCATCCTACTCAACCCCCTGGCACACACACCCCTCTGCTCATGTGCACTACATTTTCTCATTAAGGTGGAGTGGAGAGCTGGAAAGGTTACACTGTAACATCAGCACTGCTTTGTCACTGCTTTTAGCAATAGCTTCAGACAAACCCACAGAGCTCCAGGACGGAGCAGGTAAAATGTGTGCAGGTGGAGATCTTGAAATTCTGGTTAGTGAGCAAAAACTGTTTTCACAGTGAGCTTTAACATCATGAGTTGGGAAAGTAATCACTGATTTCACTGTTGATATTGATGTGAGATCCTGAAGCTATGGCTCTCTTTACAAACTATCACTTCTTGGCAAGAAAAACCTTTTTCATGATGTTCTCTCTGAAACCTTTGAAGGACTGAATATATTCTATGTAAATATCACTGTAAATAAAAGAGTGAAATTAGTCAGAACTCCATAGTGGTTTATAGGTGCAGGATGCTATTTGTCTATGTACTCTCTCTCTAATGTAAGGCAGAGGTTATTTTAATTTATAGTTTACAGTTATTTTTACTTAGCCTTGTTTGTTCCTATAGTTTGCATCTCTAATAATATGCATGGAATATTAGTGTGGCGCACAAACAAATCTACTCAGCTTCTGTTTCAATAAATAACTAAAACGAACATCTTGTCTGTACAGCATTCTAACCGATGTCCCCTGAGTGGCCACACAGCGTCTCACACATTATATACAGTCCTTTTCCAGTCACTAAAACAATTAGTCAATAATGTAAGAAAACTAAGGGCGTACTCACACTAGGCCCGGTTGGCTTGTTTTCTTGTCCCCCCTCCCCCGTTGGTCTGCGCTCACATTGCGCCTAACTGTGCTTTCAGACCAAACGCAAATTTTTGCCTCGCGACACTTTCCTTGCAAGTGTTCACACACAACGCGAGGTGGCGATTTTAACGCGATACCGTGAATAAACACAACTTGCCATTACTACATTACAACCCAAAGTAAACATTTTGTTGTGATTAAATAGCAATAAACGGATCAAACTGATGCCGAAATAACTACAACATGATGCAGATTTGTTAAACATATGAATTCACGGTTTGTCAGGTCTGCCAGCAAGATAGCAGGACAACAATTTCTCGCTTGAGTTGAAAATATTCAACTAAAATCGCGGCTCTATGCGTCTTTGCATTGACTGTATGTAAACTCACCGCCCGGAGCCTCACTTCACTTTTGGTCTGAAAGTACCATAACGATTCGAGCCGGAGTACGTTTACGTCATCACCAGGTCAGTGTTTCCCATGTTTGTGGCGGCCTATTTAAAATCGTAGTTGATTGCAGAGTGTTGCGCATATATTCACGCAGCACTGTCTCTCTCTCTCCCTCTCTCTCAAGAATACCGCTGCACAAATCTGTCAATGTCGGAGACTCAAAAAACTTATTAGCAAGCATTTAAGGAGCCTAGCTAATAAGGAGAGCTATGTTAACATTACATCACAGCTGGGTTGTCGAGGTAAGCACGCTGAGCAGAGATGGAAGTCAATATCAACTGTCATTCTGTAAAGAAAAAGTGCTCTCTCTCGCACCGCACAGTGGAGTTTGTGTCGGGGTTCAGTGGTCGGGCACGGTTAGCGATCACATTACATGCGTACCGGGCCGGAGTCCAGTTTAACCGGTTAAGCGTAGCTACCATGCCCGGGAACGGCACGGATCACATAGTGTAAGTGCGCCCTAAGAGTCTACAGCCATGAGGCTAAACATGAGCATGGTAACATCTGTATCCCTGTCCATCGTTCATAATGCAAGCATATTAAAAAAAGTATATTTCAACACCAAAAGACATGAAGCTTTATTTTTGTTTGTGGTGAAATACATTTATCCTGAATCTATCATAATATATAATCAGGAAAACAGTGACATGATTTGTGTAGTATGTAAAGAGAGAGGGAGAAATTCCAGATCCTATCCAGTTCAGTCTGTTTTTAATTATATAGCACACAAGGTTTCAAAGTGCTGCACAAGGAACAAAACATAAAACACATAAAACATACCTAAAAGCACATAGAACACATAATGGAAGCAATGGTTCAGAAACAAAATCAAAGGCAACAACAAACACAACACAGCTCTCGTTTTGGATTAAAAGCCAGGGAATAAATGGGCATGGCCAACATTTTGAACTGTGAATATAGCATATTCCATAATTTAGGCGCCCCTGTTGCTCCTGGTTTTTAGCCTGGTTTTAGGGGCGACCAGCCACAGTTGATTGGTGGCCCTTTGCTGCCTTGGGAGTGTAGACTTGTAAGATAAGATCCTAAAATGTAATCTAAAATGGACCAGGAGCAAGTGGAGTGAGGTCAGAACAGGTGTAACGTGTTCTCACTTGCGGGTTCCAGTTAAAAGACAAGCAGCCGCGTTTTGGACTAACTGTAGGCATAAGAGAAAGGCTTGTTTAATGCCAATGTAAAGTGCTTTGCAGTAGTCCAGATGGGTTGAGATAAAAGCAAGAATCACATGCTCAAAAATGATATAAAACAGACTTAATTTTAGATAAAAGCCTCAAGTGATAAAAACAGGATTTAACCACAGTATTTACTTGTTTGTCAAGTTTAAAATCACTGGTTAGATCACCATTATTCACAGTACTGCGGCAAAAAGATAAATTATCTTCCTTACAACATGGATTGAGTTAGAGTTCCACCAGCATTACAATACATTGTAGAAAATGCTGCTTGATGTGCATGCTTCCCTTATTGATCTGCTTCTGCATTTGACACAAATGATTAAAGTCAACAGATTTTACTGCTTTGGCTGCCTGTTCAGCTTGAATTCCCTGGATATGTTGCAGGTAGGAGGTGTCTGGACCTTTATTTTATTTATTATCATTTTTTATTTACTCCTTGTTTTGGACAAAGCAACGTATGAAGGTATTCACGTGTAACACATCATAAACTGTGTCACTGATTGTCAATGCAAAAATAGACCTTGAAATTCACACTACCTAGGTTGAGAAGAATCTCTGGAGGCCATCTTCCCTGATGGTCTATCACTCTCTTGGCCATTTTAATATTCCACAACATGTCCATCCCTTTTGTTACTTCAGGTTAGATGTAATGCTAATTAGATACCAGCTTGTTGTTGTCAAACTCTGTGCTGCATAGCAATGAGAAGGATCTAACACTCCCTGTGCCCTTTGAGCTCTTGTCTCTGCCACCAGCAACGCTCACAGCTCAGCTTTGTGAAGGAGCTGAAGAAACCGTCATCTTGCACATTAATTGTTGCTGAACTGCTCCTGGACTCCCTGCAGGCCAGAAGCAAGCTATTGTAGATGCAGTCTGACTGAGAATCTCCAGCATGCACAATCTGCCAGTTTGTTGGTAAAATGATCATTGTGAAATAAAATTTAATCAGATTTCCAAAGTAATGCAATAGCATCACAAACGTCCAGATTTTTGCTCAGTTTCATGGTCATACTGTACCATGTAATAGTAATTTAATAGGTACCCAGTAAATAATAACAGTATAAATGATCCCTAAATTCGTCCCACATGTCCAGATAATTGTTCAGTAGGTACAACATTCACTGTAATAATAGAATTGGTTCGCAGAAGTGAAAAAATAAGTACTACAGTTTTTTTAAGATCCCAAATTTTTATCACCTTTTTCCATAACTTCACATCTTGTTCCCTAGTACCTACATATATGTATTGGTACGAACTGTACTTGTACACTGTTAATATAAAAGATTACACTGTAACTCCGTAGTAATTATGGCGTAGGTTGTGGGTTGTAATCTAAAGCGTTACCCAGTTTATTTCTGATTTTTATTTACTATTGATATTTACTTCTTTAACTAAGAAATAGAAATGCTTGCTCAACTCTCTGAATAGGCCAAACAAAGTTGATTAATCATAAGGATGAATCCCACAGTCCTCCTTCCTCCTGAAAAAGGCCTTTGGTCTGAATTTTACCCACACTGGCAGCGAGGCACTAGTGATTGCAGTGTCGGCCGACCCACCAACTAGCGATTCCCAAAGTTTGGCGCGAGCTGCCACAAGGGTGTGCGCGACAGGAAAAATGTAATGGTGGTGTAGTAGTGTAACAACTACAATAATACTTTTTGTGGATTTTTTCCTGAAATAAAAACCTGAATTGAAAACTTTCCTTTATAAATTTAACTTAAAATTAAAAACATTATTATTAATAGTCCCTGCGACCCTGTACGCAGGATAAGCGGTTGACAATGGATAGGATGGATTATTAATAGTTAGCTCACAAGAAAATTCAATACGACGTGTAACCAATCAGATGCTGTGGGCGGGACAATGAGCAAATAAATAAATAAATAAGTTTAAAAAAAAATATATATATATATATATGCAAACCTAGAGAGAGAGGGGGTTTGGGGGTGCAGCAACCTAGTGAAGATGTAGAAGGGGATGCGTTGCCTAAAAAGTTTGGGAACCACTGGTTTAAATATCTCAACAACTATTGGATGGACTGTCGTTAAATTTGGTACAGACTTTCATGGTCGCCAGATGATGACGCTTAATTACTTGATTATTTCTCTGACTTTTCCACTTGCGCCACCATGACATTGATATTTGTGGTTTTGTGTGAAATGTTTCAAAACAAATTGGATGGACCATGAAATTTAGTACAAACATGTACTAAATCTCATGTTCCCACCTGGAACTTTGGTAACCCTTTTCATCAGGTCAAAATGTTAATCTGTTCAATACTTTGGTTTATGACCAAATACCTGCAAAACTTTCCCATCATCTTCAGCTGTACTTTGTGTTTAGTACTAGTTTGCTAATCTTAGTAAGCAAATATGCTAAACTAAGTAGGTGAGCTTGGTAAACATTATACCAGCTTAAAATCAGACTGTTAGCATTTGGCTCGAATTACTGCTGTGCCTAAGTACAGCCTCACACAGCAGCTGTGATCTAAATACACAGTTCATTTTTAAGAAGTGTTCATCCAAGATTTCCCTACTCTAGTGTTGCTAAGCAGGCAGGTCTCAACAGATGTCCTTTCCCAGATTTTTTCAATAGGCCTGTCCCAGAGCACTCTACACCAGTCCCCTGAATATCCTCAGTGCTTAAAGGAAGACAAACATTTACTTACTTTGTTGTAATGGAAAGAGAAAAAAATCCACATGCTGTTGGTTGAAACTGACATGATGATGATGGTGTTGATAAATGTTGTTGGTTACATAATCCATTATATTTCAATTGCTTTTTTGTGTGCTCTTTTTTTTTTAAAAGTTTAAAGTAAAACATCTCATTGAATTGTTTATGCATTGTTGCTTAGTAATAAACTTGAACTTAATAATTAGCTGATTTTTCCCCAACTGTCATTCCATATGATTAACTCCTTAATTAGTAACGTTTATATGTTTATATTGCTCTTTGTTTTTGAAGTTTTTGAAGCTTTTTATCAGTATTATTTGTTATCGTCCTTTGTTCCTTGAAAAGAAAATGGTGACATGTTGCTAGACCTATTGGCTTGTGTGACTGGATTTAATACATTATTTAATAAATATGGGAAAGACACCAGTGCCCTCATCATACTGATGTGACATGTCTGTCTTGTTTTCTGGCAACTCCTTAACCTTCTGTTCCCACTCACCCTATTGTCTCACAACGTAGCCATTTTACAGAATAAGTCACATTAGTGGTGTATAGTGTCCCTGATCATTTCCTATAAAACAGATTTTTCCATGCCTGCTGCTGGATTTCTTGGCAATGTACCCAATTAGCCGTGTGTCTTATAACGTCCTGCTGGTGCATTGCTAGCCTTGCTGTGGGCATATTTGTTTCGGTGCTAGCGAGTGCAAACATATTAGCCTCCTGCAGAGTATTATTTGGAAAAATAAAACGATTTTTTTTTCAGGCTGCCCTCTGTAATTATTCTAAGAAAGATAAGCCCTCAACATGTTTACTGTTCGACGCAGTTATAATTGTGCTAAGCTACAGTAATAGGAATTTGCAAACATGCTATCATTTTTCTCCTGATTACAAGAGCAAACCCATGGAGCTTGATAGCAGATGGGTGCAAAAAAAAAAACTTGTGAATGTATTTATAGATGCCAGTGTGTCAGAATTAAAAATACATTCAGCTTTAGTAGCTGGCAGGTACAGAAAGCTACTGAGACAG